GACTCATCGTCTTGAATCCTGTCTCACGTGCCTACGCTTGTGGCTTAGCAATTCCGCTTAGCTCAGGCATTCGCGACCGCATGTGTTAGAGCACCATGCGCTCGACGTCAATGGCCTCGAATCCATCGGCTCCTGTCCCATCCGTACCCGGTTTTTCTCCTCCGCATGCAATAGTGCCTCCTCCTGCACCTGGGTAACCGCCCTCCTGATCAGCTCACACTACTCGCGCCGATCCACTGCCTTTGATTTCCAACACATAAAAGGAACATCAGTTCGTGATAAACGCATCTTGATTATGTCCTGGTAACGTAATTACGGTTTTCCCAAGTGCCGCTTTCTTGCACTAAGTTGTCCATATAGCAACTGCTTGGGTATCCATGTCGAATCCATGCGGCTGATAGTCCCGATCCACCTCGGATGTCTCAGAGAAAATATGCAGTCGAGTGCATACCTCTACCACTGTGGCGGAGTACTCGGTGTCAGCAACTCGGTTACCCCGGCCGATGCGCAGAATACGACGCAGGCGCTGTTGGTGAAATCGCTCCAAATATTCGACGTCCATCCAAGAAAGCGTTTAGGTTTCATTGCTATATGGAAGAACAGACAGCACCAAAGACTTGTATACCAGCAGCTTCGTTCCAATAGTTAGATGATTGTTCTATACCCGATTCTCCACGTTTCCAAATACGACATCCGCCTTTAATACACAAAAGCGGAACTGCGTCGAAAGCACACTCTCCAGGTAATAAAATCTGTAGGAAGTTTCCAAAACGTCGTTACCAATATGGGTTTGGGACAGACCCAAGGAGTCCATTTCTGCTAAAGGCTGAAAAATACAAAGGCTTGCTTGTGTTGTTGGTAAGCCCGAATTTGGCTGTTCGTGCGCTGCAACTCATCCGCGATGTGTGCAAACAACGCGCAGTCCTCCGCAAACAACAACATACGGATAGTTGTCTCACACACTCGGATTCTCACCCCGAAACAACGGGTGTGCAGCAACTTAATATCGATGCAGTGTTTCACATGGAAAACGAAATCACAAGAAGCATCAAAATCAGAACATATCATTTAATTTAGGCAAACGTTAAACAAGACCAGAGCTGATATAGCCTTGCTTCACATCAGAGACAACATCAAAGTCATCCGACGTTTGCCCACAGAGCTGCACCATCGCCTGCATAACACTGGGCACACATCCAATAAAACGTACATATTTACTCTGACAACCAAACTTACCCAACACCAGCTAAAGTGCCTCGGCCGTTCACCATGGCAAATACCTTGGTGAAGTCAACAAACAGCGAGTACTATGGCTAGTGTCTCTCGCGGCATTTCACTTGCTACTGACGAGGCGTGAACACCATGTACATGGTGCTGCAGCTAGAACATAATCCGCATTGCTCTCCCGTCACGTTTGGCTCAACAAGCTGAATAACGAGGATGGAGAACAAGACTCGAGCAATCACTTTCCGCGCATAACTCGTCAAGTTGACGCCACGATAATTCGTCCAGCATTTGCTTGCTTCTTTTGCCATTGTATAGCAGTAGCACAAGGGCACCATTCAAGTCAGCTTGCAGTTCCTTTTTAAACCACAAACTTTGCACCAAGTGTTGCAGCGCCGCCGCCGTGTTTTAACACTGGTGATATCCTGTCGGCTCCGGCGCATCTACCGTTTCGCAGATGAGCAAGTTATCTCTGCGTCTCAAAAACCGTCGGTGGGTCGGCAAGACACATCACTACTTGTCGTTGCAGCTCATGCAACGTAGCCCAGTCAATCCCTGAACAGTTGTACAAAAGACATTTGTAATACTTCAGCCAGATCTGTATTATGTCTGCAGTCTGTGTGTAGACAGCGCCTGAAGTATCAAGGACCAACGTTCCCAGCTGGTACAACATAGGTCTATACACCGCCATCAAGAAGTCAATGAATTCCTTATGTCGGTGACGTTCGGTCTAACATTCCATTTGCTTCGCCTTCTACGTCCAGCATGCATTCTTGATGCGACGGAGCTCTTGAGTCAATCGCAGTCGAAATTTGCGAAAAGAAATCTCCTTTTCCCAGTCAGCAGGATCATCTACATGTGCAGCAAATGCTGCATTCTTCGCCGACACCAATGCGCCAATGGTCGTATTGTTGTCATCATTTCAACCGGGACGCAGTTTGCGCGCCTCGGCAGCAGCCGTCACTTGTTCAAGGATGCAGCATCATAGGTGGCCAACAGACGCGACGTAGTCGAGATCACTAAGGCAGATAGCCAACGCCTTCTCCAGCTCCATCCTCTTCTCAGCAGCACATATGGAAAGAATGTTAAATTTGCGCCGATTAAAGACCGACGAACAATATAAAGATTGATGAAAATAAATTTACGAGTTGGTCCGCACCAACTTGAGATCATTGACACACTCAACCCCAAAAAGTACGTGTGTCATACGTAATTCATGCATGTCATGCTGGCGTACGATGGCATAGTCAAGCAAGTAAGCGGAACCACTCCGCCGATGCGTCCAAGTAGCTATATCACTCGCACCCAATGCAAACTGTGTTCGTGTTCGTCAGGCCGTGAGTGGCAAACAGTGAGAGCAGCTGGTCACCGTTCCCACTGGTTGAGCCAATGTTATACAGACCGATTGCGTCTGTCCACGTCACGGTATAACGCCCAACGCGCGCGTTGAAATCACCCAGTACGAAAAGTCGTTCGCTCATCAGCACAGGTATCAAGGAGGACAACTGAGTGCGCGATTTCCATCGTGACCAGTACAGTCAGACGCTCACACGTATTCCGGTCGAGCAGTGTGCGCATGTTCCAGCACTTGATGTCTTGCGCTGAGCAATCATTCGTGTGTTTACTCCAAGTGGAGATAGTTGTGGGTTAGGAGAAATGGGGACGAGAATGTTATGAGCAAGGGAAGAAGGGAGGCGTCAGCAGTTGCATGTTCTCGATTATCCACAGAGCAGTATCCCGTAAATAAAGCGACCTTCTCCGAGTGCTACTGCGCGACGGCCGACGAAGCATGAGATGATCTGTGCTGGCGTAATTCATGGTTAGTTTTTGAACTAGAATACTATCAGAGCGCCCACATTTGACGGTAGAACAACTCGGGTCCTCAGCTGTACTCCCGAAATGCAGTAGGTGGTTCTCCATAAGTCATTGAGCCAACTCACGCGGAATTGTGTGTCCTGACGCCACGTGGTGTTCAGGATATCAGTCCATGGTACGATACTGGGAATAACGGGTCGACGATCTGTCAAGATCCAGGAACCACAAGCCTCAGCGAGCCAGGGACTCTTCGGGAATATATGGTTGGCGGCATCCGGTCTCGGATTTACCTGTCACTGTGGCTAGCCACAGGACGCCTGCGCCTACATAGGGACCATAGATGGCTTGCGCTGCACCACCCACAGCTCCATCCACACACCCCATACTCAGTGTAAACCCGAAGGAATAAGACCGGGAGGCATGCGGATGGGAGCCACGTTTCATCAACGGAGCCGGCCCACACTCCTTCACAGACAAACACAAGCACGCTGTATTTGGGGAATCAAGTACACACAAGGCGGTGGCTGGACCATAGTCCGCTCCACACTGAGTGCATGGAACCGCTTTTTGAGCCTAGCACGGCCACAAGAACCGTACACCCCGTCCCCTCCAGCAACGACCAACTGTCTCCTGGAACCAGTATGGACGAGGTAGTGGGTAATAGACAGGTAGGCACCTTGTCAACAAGCACATCAAGCGCAGTCACACCGGGGATGTCAAACAACAGCCAATCATTCGAAATGCCGATATGGAATAAAGTGAATGCATATGAGGACATAAATACTCGTAAAATGAGCATATGGAAGAAATTGGACAAAAGTGAATACGCGATACATATAAAATGTCCGAGAGTTATTAAAAAAATACCACGCGATAAAATTACGCAAGTTTACCACAATTCGCATGAGCGACGTGTGCAAGTTGGGAGAAGATTATCAAGTACACAGAACAAACCAAATAAAATGTAATGAATTTTATCCACATTAAAAAGACCTAGTTTAAGTGTAAGTTGGTTTAGCCCAACTGCGGTGCAGATGCATCATGAATACAACATCAGTCTCAGCATGGGGCATATATATATATATATATATATATATATATATATATATATATATATATATATGAGGAGGCATGAACGGTTATGCTTGCATTTGTTCCTTGTCAGTATCCAAAGCTAGTCAACTGGCGTCATCAAGTGAATGCTGCTGCACAACCAGTCAACCGGAAAGCAACCTAGAAAGATGGGGCCATATTTTCTTAGTGATTCAATTGTAGGAAAAACACAATTAGGAACATAATCTCACCTAGGTCAAATGGCTTGAATACTAAAGGAAGGGACTGAAATGTCTGAAAAACTGCGACCCCATACTCGAAAGTAGTGAAGATAGTGTGAACGCACAAGAGGTACAGTGAAGTAATAGCGCGAAAACCACGCGCTAATGAGTGAGCTTGTATCCACGAATAAATTAAATGATTACCATCTAGTATGAATGTCCAATTTAGCTAATGCGCACTCAGAGTGTGGCCATTATTCAGTGACTGCATCATTAAAATGGTTGATTTTGAATAATTCCAAGGACCAACGCATCTAGTTTATGAAAAAAGAGTGAATTGACCACACCGAAAGTTACATTTGTGTGCCACGTTTGGCATGCTTGGACCTCTGTGCCGCATGACCACCTAAAAGCCGTAAAATGAATAAGTAGATGAACCAGAGAATGGCATGGAGCACAACTGGCTTGCATTTTCATGAGGTAAAGCGAAGGCTGGATGAACGCACTTCATTCAGTTGAACAGACAAAGTTCCTACACATAAATATTTAGCCAGAAATGAAAGATTATAGCACAGAAAGGAGTAGGAGTACCACGACTAGACAATACAAAATCGATTGCAAGACGGGGTCAAGGATCTCTTTCAAGTAAATGATGATGAGGGCAGCAAAATACGGAGTCTCACCCACCTGCAGCAAGCATACATTTGAAGCACGACTTTTGATCGATTCGTGGCCAAATGACAAATTTGGCTCCGGGTGGACGTCTTTGTTTAAGTGCGAGTAAACACAAGGTCAACGTCATCCCTGTTGCCATAGGAACGACAAAACAGGTCGATGTGCTAGGGGAACCTGAGTGGGAAGGAAAAAGAAAACGCATAATCGAAGAATTTGTCCGGTCTCTGTTTATCGGTACAGAAACATAGCACAAACATAGGGGAACAACTACATGGATTAGATGATATCAACATGCAGGGTAAAGAAAAATATCTTAGGAAAACAAATAATCTCTTTACGCTGCCACGAAATGCCCCGACGAACCACCCAATAATGAACTCTTGGTTATCGTCCGCTATTGAAGCAGCTCAACAAGACCCATCCATCTTTGAAATTTACTTGCTAGACGGAGAAGAATGACAAGTTGTCACTTTTGGACATCAGGCGATGGCGTTGATATGATGGGTCAGTGGAACGAACAGTTTACCGAAAATCAGTTTTGTACCAATGAAGTAGAAACAAAACGAAGTGAATTGTAGATACTACCGTGCCACAAAAATCTGCAGCACAAAGACGTTGATAGTCGACCGTGAAAAAATGACGTTTTTCTTCCAGTTCCGTTCAAGGAAAGTCATCAGCAGTACGCCGGTACACAGTACCGATGATTCGCTGCTGCGCAACCAACACCGGTCACACGTGGACTAAGGATAGTGCGAGAGTCGCTCTGTCCCTATGCAGACTCAAACTCGCGCCGTCAAATTACAAATTCGTTACCTTTAGGATATGTGCTTTGACTTGTAAATTGCAGTGAATCTAACATACCTTGTGGCTACGTCCTTAGTGAGACTTCTCCGCTAATTACACAACACATACAAAATTCCGGCCCAGTCCGAGTTATTCGTCCCATATCAATTCATCTGCACCAGTGATGAACGGTACGTCGGATATATGACCAGCTGTCTCTTGAGGCGGATAGCAAAACACTGCCCGGTCTCACTGCGGCACGGCACGGTCGAGACGGTTCCCAGTAAGTTTAGAGCATCTGATAAAAGATATATAGACAAAAACTCCTTTAAAGCGCCGGCCCATAGCCTAAAAATAACAATCTTGTAATCTGACGGCGTTGGTTCGAGGATGCGTAGGATCAAGGCGGTCTCTGCAGTATCCTTAGCCCACGTGCGACCAGTGGTGGTTGCATGGAAGCGAAGCGTCAGTACTGCGTACCGGTGTATTGCTGATGCCAGTTTTTAAAGAGCTCCATATCATTTTACACGCATATTAGCGTATTGTACCAAGCTTTTAGCGTGGTTCATTTTCGAAATAGCGTGACGTACTTTCAAGTTAGCGAGGCCAGGAACGCTGATTTGGCGTCCTTGACACTCTCATTGGTCATGGGACATAAACCAATGGGACTTCGGTTAGAAGCCACCAGCATAAGCGACAGACACTCCAATGAAAGTGGTCGAGCACCACCTTCTGGTCTGCCTTGATGCCCATCTGAGTAAACCTCGATGATTGGTCTCCAACCTGAAACCGACCAATAGGCAAATTGTGCTGTCTGTCAAAGGAGGAGATGCTAGCTACCACATTATCCAAAGCTTAAGACGTAACCAGTGCGGACAGACATACTAACCAGCACATGAAGCGGTCTATACTTAGTGATCGCTAGCGGCTACCTGGTGGTGGCTTATTCAGCGGTAAGCTTAAGACGTAACCAGTGCGGACAGACATACTAACCAGCACATGAAGCGGTCTATACTTAGTGATCGCTAGCGGCTACCTGGTGGTGGCTTATTCAGCGGTAAGCTTAAGACGTAACCAGTGCGGATAGACATACTAACCAGCACATGAAGCGGTCTATACTTAGTGATCGCTAGCGGCTACCTGGTGGTGGCTTATTCAGCGGTCTAGCCATGGTGGCGTAGACAGGCAATGTTCTAACTGGTATTCCGCAGATCAGCAATGGCTGCTAGGCGGTTAGACAATTGTGTGCGACTGTCAGTGCAACGACCATGGGGAGCATTGTTCCCATTGAAGTTGGTAGACCAACCTGAAGCTGAACAACGAAAATTCTAAGTTTGCTTACTTTCATCACAGTTGATGACTCAACAAAAACTAATAGGAATCCAAGTGTGGCGTTGACACGACGTTAGTGAGTATTCCTTCGTCTTCACACCCATAGGCGGATATTTTAATCAGTTATCGCTTCAGCATCTCCATGTATGGCATTATGTAAAGGTAATAGGAACGTATGTATTCATAGGATAATTATGCTTCACTTCCATATGGTCACCCATGGTGGCGTAGCCAGGCAATCATCTAACAGGTATTCCGTATTTCAGCAACGGCTCCTACGTGGTTATCAAATTTTCTGCGATTGTCATTGCGACGACTATGTGGGACATTGTCCCCATTGAAGTTGGAAGACCAACCTGAAGCTGAACAACGAAAATTCTAAGTTAGCTTACTTCGATCACAGTTGATGACTCAACAAATCCAATAGGATTCCAAGTGTGGCGTTGACACGACGTTACTCAGTGTTCGTTTGTCTCCACACCAATAGGCGAATTTTTTAATCAGTTATCGCTCCATTGTCTCCATGTATGGCCTTATGTAAAGGTCATAGGAACGTATGTATTCTTAGGATAATTACGCTTCACTTCCATATGATCGCCCATACATGTTGAGACGCTTTGACAAGTGGCTCTCCAAATGGAATCATTAGAAGCACAGTCTATGCTGATGGAACCTCCCTATTACGTCCATAGACTAGCATGCTATCCTCATGAAATCGGCATTATTCAACAAAGAAGCACCTAAAGGGGCTACAATGACTACAGTGTTTATACATGCCACATCATCTTGCTAGAAAGAACGCAAGACTTATAATTATTGGCGACGCAGGCATTTTACTCTGGTAACTCAGGTGAGTAGTTGGAACAGACAAACACTGTTGTCTCACCACGGGCGTTACTACAATGTGTTTGCAATCATTTACAAAGGCAAACACGTCCACTAATCCTGCTATGGACCACTGTTTCAGCTAGTCTTAGAAGCAGTCATGTGTGCCCGCCGTGACACAGATTGTTTTCGACTTGGCAACTACTCGGAAACACTTTGTTGTTGGAAGTAGGCAATTCCGGAGGTATTGTTGAAGGAGGAAAATTGCTCCACACTCTATGCTTACTATGCGTATGCAATGCTCGTTGGCAGCTTATATCAGGGCCGTAGGGTCACTTGACATTTCAAGCTTATCAATCACTTGGAAGTGAAGTATAAATATCATGTCGAAACGCAGGATTGACCTGCATCTTACGACCTTAACATAACGGCAGGTCCATGGGTCCTGTAGCGGTAACTGATTACCGAAGTGGCGCACAGGTGTGGAGACGAACGCACACTCACTAATGTCGTGTCACCGCCACACTAGGATCCCTCCTCTTTGGAACAATGGCTACAGATCCACTGATGGTCTTACCTACACAGCGAATTTGACCTTAGTATACAATGCGCCGACTACATCAGCAATACATAGCCACACTATTCCCATGAGTGTACGGCCAACTGGAAAAACACAGTACGAGAACTTTGTAGCTGTAAAGCTTTTAAAAATTCTATTTGCGTAGAAGTCCTAGCTTTACCTTCATACGAATTACTGCATTGTTTCTGATTACCTCACACTGCCTTAATAATCACACGCATATCCTAAGCGAAATCGCACACCTATCGATTTACCGGATTGCTCGCAACGGCACGATCACACTGCATACAGCATCACGTGTGGCCAGATAGGCAGGCGAGCAAGGGAGCGAGCGTGCAGTCAACCCATAAGTCTACCAAGCTTCCAGCAGCCTGCAAGTTGCAACCTCAACACAATCAACCAATCCGCTACTTATCACTACTCAATTGGACGTCATCTCGCTCGTGTAAGCCTTCAAATTTTCTCTTCCAACAGCCTGCAAGGGTTGCATTCTCAAAAAACTACCAATCCACTTCTTAGCATCCCTCACTTAGATGTCTCTCGCTCGCCAGATTGCCAGTGTGACCAATCACGTATTATGTCTCCCATTGGCTGAGCACCCTCGACAATACAAGGACTATTGTTGGGGACACGTCATGCCGCTTGGTATCAACGGTGTTCCGTAGACAACTGTGATCACAGGACCGAGGATCCTCAAATCGAAGGGATCAAGTATCACTGACGTACGGAGGAGGGGAATTCACTGTAATCCTGTGTACATAATGCTGAGAAGTAATCCCATTTAAATGTCAAGAACAATTCTGGCCTCGATCATGTCGGGAGACAACGTGTAGCTGCTGTGTCGACATATTCAATAGTCATGCCACGACCTGGCAACCCATTTTCTGGGTCCATTATAGCGCCGGAGGGATGGTCTCGGAAATCTGACCGGTGAATGCGCAGAAGAAAACGATTCTTCGTAATCAACGGTAGAAAATGCTACCACTTTAAGTTGTTCGGCAGGCACAGAACTTTACAGATATCTCGCCACCTCTATCGTTGAACGAGGATCTGAAAAACGCATGGGGTTTATCAGTGAATGGCATACCAAAGGTGACCAGTTCCAGTAAAAGCTAGCGTTGTTTCAACCTGTAGGAGCCACTTCAGTTCAAAGGAGTGGAAAACCTAGTGAAGCGCGAAAAGTTCGGTACTGCGGTGTTCGTCAGTTATATCTGGTACAAAGAGAGTTGGGGCTTCAGTATGCTCAAACATTACCTACCAGTTACTTGGTAACAATTCAGTTAAGGAAGAATACACCAGTACCGGATTTGCCTGCCACTGCGGCCTCCATAGGACAACCACAGGACGCCTGCGCCTACAAAGGGACCATGGGTGGCTTGCGCAGCACCATCCTCCTCTCCTTTAGAGTCCTCCAATTACGATCTCATACCAAATGCATAATAAGATACCTAACATTATATTACAAGCCTTTTGGAGTATTTTGTAGTCTGTAACTTTTAGTATTTTGTCTTTTGTACTGCGGCATATTAGCTGAGCTGTGTTACGCACCCTCAGCTAACGTGCAATAATGATGATGACAAGGTGTTGCAACACCTACAGCCCCATTATTCACACACCCCATATAAAGTGCAAACGAGAAGGAATAAGACCGGGAGACATGTGGATGGGAGACAGGTCTCATCAACGGAGCTGACCCACATTTCTTCAACACACTCCTTCAACTACGTAAGGAATCGCGCGTATCAGATGTACACAAAGCGGTGGCTGAGCCGTAGTCCGCTCCACACCTAGTGCATGTAACCACGCTTTGAGCCTAGCACGGCCACGAGGACAGTGCACCTCCTAGTAAAGATTCCGTCTCCTGGAACCATTAATCGAGATGGATGGTGTTAGACAGGTAGGCACCTTGCAACATTCACATCGAGCACAGCCATATCGGGGAGGTCAAACAACCAACCCAGAACTTAAAAGAAAATAAACACAAAATTGACGCGGAATATGCAGCAGAATAACAGAACTGAACATAGCAAATAAAGTGGAATACTTTGTATCTATATTAAGATCTAGTTTGAGTGTAAGGTAGTGTAGCCCACCTGCAGTGAAGAAGCATAATGTTTACGTTATACATGGATATAAACGACACACATGTGAACAGAAATTATTTGATAGAAAAGACATGATGAACCCCACATGATGTGATAAGTTCAATGGACAGTTTCCCCTGCACAACCCCGGAAGTCGCAGGATGGAGGCTATCTTGTGACTCTGATTTGTTAGTGCGGAGCTACGTGGAGTGCATAAGACAGAACAATAGAGGCGAATAAGGAGTAGTTCGGAAAATCTGGTTAACCCCTCTGGTACCTTTTTTAATATTACTGAACCGTGTGTGGGAAGCATAATTACGGGTGTAAAGACGAACGAAATTCAGCCTATACCGCGTTCATCAAAGCAGCGAAAGGATGAGCAGTTCCCACACAAGGTCCATAGGATATCATGGAATAAATGAGGGATATCTTGATCAGAATGCCTCAATGGAAAAGCGTTTTGCGCAGCACAATTCGGTGAGATACAGCGAATGCATCGGGCATGAACAGGGTAGACTGCTGAAACAAATACCGCTAGCGGAGCGTGGTAACCCCATTGTGCAAGTGCCAGTAATCAGGACGTTTGTGGTCAGATTATCAGCGTTGGTTGCCGTTAACTGTGCAGTGTTGAGAGTGAACAGCACAGTAAAGGAGATGGACCGCGTCTTCCCATCTGCACACCGTGCTGAGATGAAACGTAGTAATGCGTCAAAGTTTGCGATTAAAAGCTTACCTGATTTCTTGAGCCAGTCTAACACCAGCCGGTTAGTTAACCGATTGATTAAACTGGATCCTGGGGCCTTTGGTTGGATGGCTGTGATGTCTCCGGAGCGCCCAATGCCGTGTGTCAATCTACGGGAAAATGATGGTGAGGAGACGGCATTAATTATGGGCCCACGGCTAAAAACAAACAGACCAGAATGAAGGCGATAAATGTCCTGGAAAGTGATCATGAGTACCAGCACAGCTCGCGGACGTGGGTCTGTCTCTCGGGGTGCGAGTGCTTCATTACCAATGAAGATGATGTGAGCAAAATTAAATGACAGTCTGATTTTGTTCGTCATTTACTTACCAAGCCGATATCCGCCCGCAAATTTGGGAGAGCGCTTGATGGCCACTTCGATCAAGTGGGACCGGTCAGCAGCGAGCATCACTTCGATTCCTCCGGAACCCGAACCAACAATTATTGTGCTTGGATGCTAGAGACTGACATCACTAGTTCACTAGACCGGAAAGTATCTACTAGCACCACCACTGCAGCAGGGTGGCTCAACTAGGCGCCCAAGTGTGCAAAGACAGGTGTGTAAGTGTAAAGACAGCTCTCCACGGAAACTGATTGGGTGGGTCAGCCAAACAACTAGAATCAGTGCAACAGCGCACCATAGGTAGGGTTAGCAACTACCTAATAATGATGGCCAAAACTAAAGCACAGCAAAAAACGTAGTGAAGAAAACGAAACAAAACAGTTAACCAAAATGGTGAGAAGATGCGAAACGTCAAATCGGGATGGAGAATTGCGAAGAGAACAGCAAATGACCCTCAAATGCCCAAAGTCACTTAACAATTCTGATCACACACATGGCTGATACAGACAAAGGTTAGGACAGTACGAGAGATGATGTTTGATATCCAAAGGAAACTGGTCAGAGAAGCAAGCTACAAGTCACTCAGAAAAAGAACGCTGGCAATGCACTCACGTATATCGACGCGAAGAGTGGAGCGGTAAGTTTAGACGCTACGCTGCGCCGGTAAATTAAATAAAAGACTCGTTGTTCCCCATTCTAATCAAGTAAGTTACACTGCGGCCTGTTCAACGGGAAAGTTGAAACGTGGTAGTTACGTCAGAGATGTTGGTCAGGTTTCAATGTGCGGTGGCAATCAGTGAGCACAGAGCATGTCCTCGCCATCTTAATTAAGCCTGCGGTACTGACACTCAAATACATTTGGGTTTCCAAGCAGGCTAATGGCGAATCATATTAGCCTAAAGCAGGCGCTTCAGCATGATAAACTCCCCAATGACAGCGAATGCGCGAATATGGTCCATAACCGGACCAAAGGGTGACTTTCGTTAAGTGAAAGTGCGACGTACAACAGCTGAGTCATCCAAAACCGATTTGCTATTCCTTCAGAAAGCACTAACAAGCAGATGTCACACCCATGGTGTGCAATTTTATGTTAGCTCTGGCAAGCCGAATTTGGTCGATAGAAAAGAAGTCGCAATGAATTCTGAAATCTCGTCACCGCGAGAATCGAGGCTGTGCGAAAATCTACAAAGGCTTTCCAAGCTAGTCACAATAAGCGGTATGCCAGGGTTATCTGATATCGTACTTCCTCTCAAATAAGTGAGTGACGGTGTGCTATCCATTTCTTCGGAAAGCAGGAGTACCTACAGAGTTAAACAAACATGGTCCGGGCACCGAAGTGCGGTGAATTTATTTGCCACGACGCATGTTGCCAGAATAACAGCGAATAACAGTGGCAAGAAAAGGAGGTTAAATGCAAATAGAATACAAAGAAAATGGAACCAGGACAGAAAAGAGCCAAGAAATCGAATGCAGAAACGTCACTGACTGCGCGACTGCGTCATGTGTGATAGGGTCTCCAACCGATGTTGTGAACCACCCCGGGGCTTTCCTCCATGAAGATAATACGCACCAGCCTGGCCAAGTCTCTCAGTCAGTTTCTTCATGCCTCTATGGCAAGTCATGGACTGGCCACCTCGCAGTTCCGCCCAACTTGGTGCAGCAACGGCGTGTGATACACACCGAATAAGTCGACCAACGGGCACACAGAGGACATGACCTAGCCAACGTAAGCGGTTAAGATTCAGCAAACACTCGGGTGAGGAACCAGAAGGCGTCTTGCCAAAAAGCAATTGGTGAACTTTAACATTGCTCACCCGATGTTCCCACCAAACGTGAGCAATACTCAGCAATCAACGGTGGTCAAACACAGCCAAGCGTTTGATTTCTTCGCCGCGAACTGGCTAAGTCTCTGATCTACACAGTAACCCCGGTCTTATCGCAGCGTTATACATCCTATCGTTCACTGACAAGCTGATATCCCGTCGTCTGCATAGGTAGTTGAGCCTCTGGAAAACTACACAGGCCTTGATGCTACGCAACGTAACTATCCCAGTGGTGTGACCATCATAGATTACACGGCTATAAAGGTAAGAGAAGCGATCCACCAATTCCAGTGGTTGTTCGCTGACAGCTAGAACCAGTGGAGTACCGGTCCACTCAAGCAAATGTACTACTTTGCATTTTGAAGGTGTAAAGCACATGCGGAAGCGTGCATCGCTACGCATCAGTGAATCTAGTAGTGTTTGCACAGCCACTGCATCAGTCCCAAGAAGAGCTATGTCGTCCGCATACTCAAGATTTGTCAGTCAGTCATCTGAGAGGACTTCCACTCCGGTAAAGTCTGAACGATCCGAGTCATTTTTGATCATTTCGATCACAAATTTGTAGAGGAAAGGAGACATAAGACAACGCTGGCGAACGCAACTTGTCGTGGGGAACCCAGGAGATAGCTTTCCGTAAATTTTTATCCGGCCTCGGGAGTCACGGTAGAGAGACTTCAGAATGGAAAGGAGTTTAAATGACACATCTTTCATGGATAGACAGTGCCATAAGCTGGCTGGATCAACAGAATCGAAGACGGCTTTCAAAAGTAAATATGTGCAACAGCGACTAGGGTGACAACCAGCCTGGATTTTAATGATTGTGTTCTCAAGAGGACCTGTAATTCGTTGAAGAATGATACCCGTAAGGAGCTTGGATACAATGGAAACAAAGCTGATGCCTCGAAGATTTTCGCACGAAGTCGCCAGTCTGAAGACACGTCTCCAGTGTTCCAAATCGTGTTGAATAGAGTAGTAAGTCAAGTCAAGAAAGGATCACTTCTACCACTAAGCAAAGATGAAGGTCGACGGGTCCAGCAGCCTTGTTTCGTTTCAACACAGCAAGTTCATGTGGAATCTCATCCAAAGTGGGAGGTGCGACATTAGCATCACGTCGATTTGGGTAATTCAGCAAGTGATAGTGTAGTACCACCACTTGGTCCACTGGTAAATTTAGGGGAAGTAGACAATGTAATCATCCTTAGGCCGGACTCAGCCTATGTGAAAGCGCTTCTGGACTGACTGACACGGAGCACGGCACAATCCGGTATGTGATTCCCATTCCCCAAGCGCAAGTCGCTGCAGGATATGGCCAGCACAACCTCAATTCTCACTAGTATCGAATAACTACCGGAAGTGCCAAGTCCGTTTAATCACCTAGAAAGATAAATCGCAAGTAAAATCATCGCAAAAGTTACCGCACGCATCAGTAAGGCTCGTGTAGCCCTTCAGAGATAAATGATCTATAAAAGTGATGTGGTATTGGTTTAGCGGTTGAATTTATAGCGCGGGGCGACAAGTAGTCCTGCATGTATCTGACATGCAGCCAAGATGGATTTGTAATGGTTTCCCTAACTATTTATTGTTGGACATGTTTGATACCTTCGCAAGAACAACAATGATGTTTGTATGTTGGTATTTCGTTTGTCGTCACGGTCTCAATTTACTAATCGCTAGCAATACGTTTAATGATGAAATGAGTTAAGGTCAATGACATCACTTCACTTTGGTGCATGAATTACAGTTGACCAATCCAACCGAACGGAACTATCACTTAACATGTTCACCGCAGCAGGCGCTAAGGTTTGCATGCTAGCAATCGAAGCGAATGCGTGCGCTAAAAATTGTGTGAAAGTTCCTGAATAGTGCATGGGATTGAAGCTCACTGCAAAGCGATTGTGTCATGTTTGGGAATGACCAAGAGTCGTTGAGCAAAAACCGGTGTAATTTCAAAAGTGCATACCACAACAAATGCGTTGTAGGGCAGATGAAACATCAAGACCTACTTTAAGGGTCATTTCCCAACCAAGATATTGTTGCTATCGAAATAAGCATTTCGGTCCCAGGTTGCACATACACTGCAGTCGATAGCTACCTCTGGAAAAAAACGTTTGTGGGAAAGTAGCTATGGACCACACAAACGGATTCAGTGTTTTTATCGCATCACAACACAAGTCGTTGCTGAGTGGAAGTGAGGCGAACAGCCATTTTGGATGTTCCGTTTGATGGAACTCAAACATATAATGCGTACCCCAATCGTCAGTCACATGACCAGAAATACGTCAGTGTGTTGCACAGGGGATTCGCCGACCATAACTAAAAGCTAATAAGGTAGGTTCTAAAAAGAGGGATTAAAGACAGGAGTGAGGAGATATCAAATGTTGAGCATGGAAGCAGTGGGTAACTATGCAGAGCAAAAGAGCGTAGATTTCTCAAAAACTGGACAGTCACAAAACGCTGGTTACTGTGCGGAACCATTGAGGCAATCGTCTTACGAGTTTCATGGTCCTTCCTTCTTCGCAAAACATAAGTCGAAAGTGGATGCAGATGGGAGACTATAGCGAATACGATGTTGAAGCGAGCTGAGAGCTTTGATTTACAGCGTGTTGAGCAAGCACGAAAGCGAATTAAAAGGGCTATGGCTTCGAATCAAGTGGCCAGCGGTTTCATTTCCAACAGCGTGAGACTCCACAAGAGAAAATTCCATGATGGAATTCAAGGCACAATTGGATAGTAATGGAGAAGTAGAACAACTGGCGAATTACAATTGTCTGTAAGACATCTGATAGCTTAGCGGTGGACCCTGATTCAATCGACTGTAAGAGAGATTGCCCCTAGACTCTACAGCATTGACTGTCAAACAAGAATTTAAAAACGAGGAGCACAGCCTACGGTGTGACGCTACTCTGTGCGTAACGACGATGAGGTCTGTAAAGTTCATCCAAAT